ACTGGAAATAGGCTTTGCAAATGTACATGAAGAAGAGGTGGGGTTAAAGCCCCACCACTAGCTGTGGAGCTATTGGCATTTAGTGGCTGTGGGAAAGAGACAATTTTCTTTAAGTGTGTGACTCCCGGTAGGTCCACCTCACTCCAGGCCACCACAAACTATATAATGATTAGTATAATTCATATAATAGATATATTTCTTTTTTTGTAAGATTTATTTATTTATTACATATACACCAGATTAAATTGTAGATGGCTGTGAGCCACCATGTGGTTGCTGGGAATTGAACTCAAGACCTCTGGAAGAGCAGTCATTGCTCTTAACCTCTGAGCCATCTCTCCAGCGCCCTGGATATATTTCTTTGAACATTTTTATTACTGTTTTATGTGTATAGGTATGCTGCTTGAATGTATGCTTATGCATCTTATGTGTGCCTGGTGCCAGCGGAGGCAAGATCCCCTGGAACTGGAGTCACTGACTAGTTTAGAGCCTCTATGTGGATGCTGGGAACTAAACCTAGGTCCTTTGGAAAAAAAGAGCCAGGGCTCTTAACTGCAAAAACATCTCTCCAGCCCCTAAAGGTTTTGTTTTAAGTGTTATTTTATTCTTACTTGTTTGTTTTAAGATAGGGTTTCCCTATGTAACCTGGCTGGTCTGGAACTCACAGAGATCCAACTGTCTCTGCCTCCCGAGTGCTGGTATTAAAGGCGTGTGCCACCACGGCCTGGTGATTGTATTTTTAATTCTGTGAATCTGTGTAAGTGTGTGGGTATGTTCATGTGGCTGCAGATGGCATTTCTTCAGCCCTAACAGATAATTTCTGTGATAAAATGTTTTATAGTCATGAAAGCTGTCTTCTCAGGACACTTCAATGATTGCTGGTAAACTTAATGTTATAAAAAAGAAAATGCCGGGCGGTGGTGGCGCACACCTTTAATCCCAGCACTCGGGAGGCAGAGGCAGGAGGATCGCTGTGAGTTCGAGGCCAGGCTGGACGACAGCCTCCAAAACAATACAGAGAAACCCTGCCTCGTAAAAACAAAAAAACAAAAAACAAAAAACAAAAAAAAAAAAAAAAAGAAAATGTGGGGGGGAGTGGGAGGAACTGTAGTTGGTTGTGTAAAATGAAAAAGAACCTTCTAAATAGATACAAAATTTCAAAGAAAATGTAAACTACATAGGCTAGGATAGGCTTAGTGGTTTGGTACAGGCCTAGCATGTATGATTGAGTAACATACCATTAAAACAGTAATAAGGAGCTTTATCCAGCGAACATTTTCTTCTTTGTGCTTTCTATCTTGAAACTTGATCTTCTCTTTCCACTCTCTGCCCTTCTCCCCACTCCCCCTCTCTCTGACAGAGCCTGACTATATTACCCAGGTGTACAGCTGGGATGAGTCTCCAGATTACTAGGATCATAGGTTGTGCTACTATATCCAACTTTGAAAGATAAGTTTCTATTGTCTTTATAATTCAGAAATTAAGATATTTGAAAAGAAAAAGACAGCCAGGCGTTGGTGGCGCTTACCTTTATTCCCAGCACTCGGGAGGCAGAGGCAGGTGGATCTCTGAGTTTGAGACCAGCCCGGTCTACTGAGCAGGTTCCAGGACAGGGTCCAAAACAATATAGAGAAACCCTGCCTCAAAAAATTAAAAAAAAGAAAAAGAAAAAAGAAAAAAACATGGAGCATGGTTGTACATATCACATGGCCAGTTCCAAGATGGCTTGGACTAGAAGAAGCTATTACACTCCCATCAAGAAAAAGGCAAAACATTTCCTTTTACTAAAGTTATACCCCTGCCATAATGTTCATTATTAAATTCGTTACAATGACGGAAACCTAATGAGATAAATCTGGCCCTATCATGTACCAAAATAATGGGTTCCTATAAGAGTGGGAAGGCAGAGGATAGGGAGGGGCGGGAGGAGCTAGTGCCTCAGAAATCAGCATCAGCATCACCTGACACACTCTGCCCAGCGTGATGTTACATTAAGTACTGGCAGCAGAAGGATCTCTGCTATCATACTAACAGAAATCAGACATTAGGAAACTAAGGTAACATTACTTAATAGTATCTTCGATACAATCATGCAGAAATATAATGGGGAAAGGATCTAGCCTAGCCAGAGAAGACTGTCCATATGTTCCCTCAAAAAAAAAAAAAAATGACATTTAGCTGGGCGTTCGTGGTGCACACTTTTAATCCCAGCACTCGGGAGGCAGAGGCAGGTGGGTCTCTGAGTTCGAGGCCAGCCTGGTCTACAGAGCTAGTTCCAGGACAGCCTCCAAAGCAATACAGAGAAACCCTGTCTCGAAAAACCAGTCGACATTTCTGTCATGTTACTCCAAACCTGATACTTATCTAGACATTTGAAAGTTTTAGAAGCAGGACCTTAATAAATATCTGTTGAATGAATGAAAGAAAACAGTTCTGGTCTGAAAACTGAAAGATGGAGAGATAGCTCAGTGGTCAAGTTACTCTCACAGAGCACCAGGGTTCAGGTCCCAGTACCCACATGGTGGCTCACAACCATCTGTAACTCTAGTTCCAAAGAAGCTGACATCTGCTGGCCTTTGTGGGCACTGCATAAACATGGTACACAGACATGTGTGCAGGCAAAACACCCATGCACACATACACACACAGAAAACTCAAAGTCACCATTAGGTAGGACTAAGCAATTTAAAGTCTGACCTTACTGGGGTGGTGGTGGCGCATGCCTTTAATCCTAGCACTCAGGAGGCCAACCAGGTCTATAGAGTGAGTTCCAGGCCAGCCAAAACTACACAGAGAAATCCTGTCTCAGAAAAACCAAAATAAACAAATAAATAAATGAAATCTGTCCTTTAGCCATAACCACTCAAAAATGAATGAGAAACACCTACCCTTAAATATGAGCTTCTGAAAAGGTATCGGAACCCCTGTGGCCTCTTCAACAAGCTGCGCTAGGTCTTGGACAACTGGTTCACTAAGACCCTGCTGTGGGGTAACAAGAAGTTCATACCGCTCATTGCCTGGAGAGAAAGAACAGAATTCAATGAAGATAATTCCCATACACCTAAAAATGAGCTGATGTTTTCTTATGGAGATGAGGATTGAATTCAGTGCCTTGGGCTTGCTGGGAAGCATTTTACTACTGAGCTATGTCCCCACCTAGAGACACATTTGCATTCAAGGCACAGCTCATATGCTACCTATCACAAAGCTCTCCTTTGGGGACCTTCTCAAAGATTTGTTTCCTCTAACATTAAAAAAAAAACTAATATAACGATAGCTGACATTTTGTGTAAGCATAGGTAATGAGCTGTGCAAGACTTGTTCCATACAACATCTTAAAACCCCAGGACAACACCATAAAACAGGTATCAGTTTAATTAAGACTTGTTTGGGGAAACCTTCAACTGCCAGGGCCAGAATCTGCCCTTTCCAAAGTCCACATTTTCCATCAGGAGCTGCCTGTTTCCTGTGGTCTGACTGCCCGATTGTCTTTATGGCATTGGTCTTCTGGTGGTGGTCCCTGACTCACCAGCAAGGGACTGTTTCCCTCCACATCTTTCTTACCGGGCACACCTAAGTAGACCATAATTAGTGCTTAGTAAAGACGAATGAATGAAGCCATTTCTAAAGCACAGGTGGCCAATTCTTTTCTAAGTAGGTGAAGTGCTTATTAGACCACTCTCCCAATTGACCCAGGGTCAGAAGAAGCCCTAGTTCCCATCTGTGCTTCGCAGATCAGAAATCAGAGGCCTTAAGAAAGAGATGTCCATCTCAAGGTCACTTAAAGCTGGACACAGAAACATGTTTCCAGACGGCAAAGTATGTGGATCTTTCCTAACTAACTGGTAGTAAGGAAACCTCACGGATTCCGCTTTCTCCAGTGTTTGGTTCTGTGTTAATTTCACCAAGTGTCCAGAAAGCAACTGTTGGACTCCCCCCCACCCACTGAACGCGCGGTTCTGTGACATCCAGTACAGAAAGTACTCAGTAAGTGATGAACAGCCCGACCATACACCAAGTTCAGACTCACTATAAAAGTTCTACATACAAAATGTCCAAATACAAGACTGACACACTCAACTACGCTTCCAAAATAGAAAAGCTAACAAATATCCAGGGACAAAACACATTGGCCACACAAAAAGATGTCCTGACACCAGCCCCAGGCCAAAACCCATGCCAAACCCACGGATCCCAACCCGACCTATGAAGCCCACTCTGGTGCTCACTGTGGGTGACGGTCACACTGAGCCCGGGTGTTTCCATTTCCTCCGTCTGAACCATCTGCTCAATCTGGGCCAAGCTCTCGGTCTGGGTCACCTCTTCGGCCATGATCACCTCCTCGGTCTGGGTCGCCTCCTCGATCTTGATCACCTCCTCCACCTGGGGCACCTCCTGGGTTCCGGCCACTTTCTTGCTGCGGGTCACTTTCTTACCCCTGGTCAACTCCCTGCTGTGAGCCACCTTCTCGCTCTGAGCAGAGCGGGGACGGACTTTCTTCTTCACCCGCGGCCTGCAAGCGCCGGCGGCGGCGCCCCCGGTGGATCGGTCATGCCCGCTGGCTACACTGCGGACAGATGAATGCTGAGAGGGAGGCGAACCGCGCTCGGCCCGGGGCTCCGACTGGAGCGGCTCCCGGCTGGGCCGAGAGGCGCGCAGCCGGGGTCCCAGCGGCTCCCGGTTCCCTCGCAGTCTCCGAGGGCCGCTGCGATCCGCCAGGCCAGCGTTTGTTCACCGCCCAGCGGTGGCAGCCGAGCGCGCAGTCATGCAATCCCGCCCTACTACTTACTCACCGTCTCCGCCCCATCTGCTCGCCACGCCCTCGGAACTGACCCCGCTCCAGGCCCCGCCCTATCCGCCCAGCCGCTTCTAGGCCCCACCCACTCCGCCGAAGCACCGCCCCTTCCCTCTCTAAGGCCCGCCTCCAGAGGTCTTTCCGCCTCTCCCAGAGCTCCGCGCTCCTTCTCCGGAAGGAGGAGCTGAAAACCCGGAAAAAAGATCGGGAAACTCCAGCGAGCACTCTGCGCTTGCGCATGGGGGGGCCGGAAACTGAAACCGGAGCGACAACGCTTCCGTTTCTGGTTTTCCCTCAGTGTTTGGGTTTTTTCGCCGCCGGCCAAGATGAACCGATTCTTCGGAAAAGCAAAACCCAAGGCTCCGCCGCCCAGCTTGACTGACTGCATTGGGACGGTGGGCATTTGACTTTGTATACCTAGACTCAACTCCGATCGTCCCATCCCGAATTCCTACTCCATCCCATTCCTGGTTCCGGCCCATTATATCGGAGTCTTGTCCATCCCCACCCCTCTCGTCCCCGATTTCCAGGTCATTGCTGACCCCGCAAGCCGGAGACACTGACTCCCTCATTACCTCATCCTTACTGCACTCAAAGCCCTTTCTGACGCCCCCTGCGTCCCATCGCTTCTTGCTTGCTTTGGTCCTCACGTTACAACCTTCCCAACCTTGATCCGTACACCTCACTCCGTCTAGCCTGGTCTTTTACCAATTCAGTTTTCATTTCTCTTCTCTCACCCACATCAGGGTGAACACTCTGTACCTTAGTCTTGGATCTGAGTAGCACAAGATTCTGAACCTTGGTCCCTGCAGATTAAAGACCTGATTTCGGAAAAGGCATTAGATCTCGTCTTAGCCTGTATCCACTGCCTCATTCCATACAACATTATGTTGAGTCCTCAAACTGACTATTCTCCCATTTGGAAAATCTCAATCAACCCAGTAATTACCAAATTGTTTTTCTCGAGGGAGAGCTGCGATATCAGAATCTGGGACATGGGAAAGAATTTAGGAAATCCTTCCAATGATTCTGGCTTACCCTTAAGTAAACCTCTATTTTCCACAACCTTCCTTTTGTTTTCTTCATCCATATTCCTTGCTCTCCTGCCCCTTTCTGTGTAAATATATTACGATAATTACCACTGCATTTGACATTTTCCTCCAAGGTGGATAGCAGGGCAGAATCCATTGACAAAAAAATTTCCCGGTTGGATGCTGAGCTAGTGAAATATAAGGATCAAATCAAGAAGATGAGAGAGGGCCCTGCCAAGGTAAGGTCGGTGTTAACTGTTGTAGTTAGTACTGTGTAGGAATGGAAAAAGTACGCACAATCTGGCAAGGACAAAATGCATGTGAGGATGTATTCTTCAGGGAAGAGAGTGCAGCCAGGTACAAAAGGGGGGGGTTAATATGGTATATGGAAGGTGCTGATCACATGTCCTGAAGCATATAATGAGAATTACTTAGCGTACTTTACAGAATGGAGGGTTTGGTTGTGCTCAGAATCTGGGTGTGGTCAGGCTAGTCAGGCTGGTCGGGCTGGGAAAAAGTACAGAATTAGCATGTAAGACCAGTGTTCTAATATTATCAGTAAGTAGATTATGGATGTATAGATCTTTTTCCCCCCAACTCTTTAACTTATTAACAATGTGACCAGTACCTCACTCAGCCTCGATTTTCTCATCTGTTACTTGAAAATAACACGTACATTGTAGTGTGAGGATTAAATAGCGAGCCGCCTACATGGTGCTATGTGTAGAATGTAGTAGTGTTTGATAAATTTGCAGGAAGAACCAACAGGGGAAACAAAGGTGTAGCGGTTCTCAGCTTCCAAAAAGGAGAGATTGGTGGGGTTGTTGTGAACTGTTTCTAGCATGAGGACATGAAAGAGATTGAACATGTTCTGTTTATGTTGAAGGCAACTGGATATACACTGGGCACCATTGGGGCTGAAAGTGGACATAAAATGCATCAGGAAAAGGGAGAGTGGGTCAGGATTCTGAGATGTTGGGTGCAAAGGGTGCTAAGGCTTACCACCTAGACAGTTACCTGTGCTTGGAGGGGAAGAATAGACTCAAGGAGCCTCTGTGCCTACCTTTTTAAAGAAGAAGCAAGTAGGTATAGGAGTTTTAGCATGGGGGGGCACTTCTATATATGTTCGTTCCCCTTTTCATTAAATCTGTTTTTCTCCTCAGAACATGGTCAAACAGAAAGCCCTGAGGGTTTTAAAGCAAAAGCGGATGTAAGTCATATGCACCATCTCCTTTCTAAGAACAGTTAAGCCAAAAGCAAAGAGGTCTTCGTTCCTTCTGGCTTTCATATCGTTTTCTATGTACTCTTGATTTCATTTCCAATTTATGATCTTTTGGGTTTGTTTATGAAGTTAAGGATGCTAAGTATTTGTTCTCTCTCACCAGAAGAAGTGTAAAGGTCCACAGTTTGTTTTCATTTACTATTTCCCAGTGTTTTTGCAAAACCCAGTTAACTATCTGGTATTTACCCCTGTAGACTGCTCAGTCTGTGAGATCATCTGTGTAGAAGCTAGGTATAATCAGCTTGTAGGAAACCAGAAAAATTGTTGACAGCTTTGTCCCAATTTTAAAATTACTTTGTAATATATCAGATGCTGTCTTTCTTTTTTTTTATATTAAATCACATTAGAAAAAACTAATAATGCCTACAATAGCCAAAATGTGTTACAACTATTACTTTCTTAGTGGCAATTGGTTTTATTTATTTTTAAAAATATTTTTATTTTATTTGCATTGGTGTTTTCCAGGGATTTATAGTTACAGACAGTTGTGAGCTGCCATGTGGGTGCTGGGAATTGAACCTGTGTCCTCTAGAAGAGCAGTCAGTGCTCTTAACCACTAATCTGTCTCTCCAGATCAGCACCTGGTTTTAAAGTATTACGTTTTTCTTATAGAAGAAATACAATTTGGCTTCCATGGCCTAGGCCTGTATTCCTAGCACTTGGGAGGTAGCCGAAGAAGGACCAGAAGCCTACAAGCCTTGGCTACGTACAACCCTATCTCAAATTAAGTAAATAAATAAACCGAGCATGGTGGCACACACCTGTAAACCTAGTATTTGGTGTGTGAAGAATAGCAGGGGTTCAAAGCTATCCTTGACTAGTAAATTCTAGACCATTGTGGTCTGTATGAGTCCCTGCTTCAAAAATGAAAAATAAAGAATTTTTTAAAAAACTATAAACTTGGAAAATAAGCAAGCAGAAGTAAAGAAATTTATCTGGATTCTTAGGAAACTGAAATTATAATGTGTCTTCTATATAAGCTATTCTTTTCTACTTAAAACTATACTTTTTTTTCCTGTTTCTGTTTTTAGAGACAGGGTCTTGCTATGTACCAAGACTGGCCTCCAGCTCCAATCCCCCAACTTAGCTTCCCAAATACTGGGATTATAATCATGTGCCACCATGCCTAACTTAATGGAGTCATTTGCCACTTGCCTAGATCATGAACTACATATTTTTCTTGTGTTAGTTAGATGGTTTCCAGATGTTGTGTGAAGATGTGGTGATATAAGTCTTTAACATAATATTATAATTTGATAGAAAGCCTTTAAAGAGTATCAGACATTTCAAGTATCAGTATTTCTAGTATCAGACATCTGACTTACATTAAGTCAGATATATAGCCTAATTATGAATACAGGCTTACTAAAGTGTCATTAAATACACTTTTGAGTCTACCTGAAAAACATTTGGATATATATTAAAAAATAGTCTTATCCTTTACCCCAAGAGTTCCACTTCTGATAATTCAATCTGGGAAATAGAAAAATATAAATATGATGTAATAAGATGCAGCATAGACCAGGAGACACACATCTGTATTACCAGCCTTTGGAAAGTTGAAGCAGGAAGGTCACTACAAGTTTGAGGCTAGCCTAGACTACTAGACCCTTTTTCAAGAAATAGAAAAAGAAGCAGATAATGTGTTTTTAAGTGGGAATAGTTAAAACTCAAATACATGCAAGGGAAAAAGATTTGGAGGGATTTTGTAAGAGTGGGTAGTTTTTTGTTTGTTTGTGTTTTGTTTTGAGACAGGGTTTCTCTGTGGCTTTGGAGGCTGTCCTGGAACTCACTCTGTAGACCAGGGTGGCCTCAAACTCACAGAGATCCTCCTGCCTCTGCCTCCCAAGTGCTGGGACTAAAGGCGTGTGCCACCACTACCCAGCTAAGAGTGGGTATTTTTTAGTGGTTTGATTTTGGTTTCTTTGAAGAAAATTCTCTTATTTTAGGTTAAGGCTACTTCCTTCCTTCTGTCTCACATTTCTAACTCTCACTCCACTCCAAAAAGGTATGAGCAGCAGCGAGACAACCTTGCCCAGCAGTCCTTTAACATGGAGCAGGCTAATTACACCATTCAGTCATTGAAGGACACCAAGACCACGGTATGCCCAAAGCATTTTCCCATTCTAATTCTTTCGTTTGGTTGCTTGTTTTGATTTTTGAGACAGGGTTTCTCTGGTACTCCTTGCTGTCCTGGAATTCATTCTGTAGATCAAGCTGGCTTCAAACTCAGAGATCCGCCTGTCTCTGTCTTCCGAGTGCTAGGATTAAAGGCGTACGCCGCCACTTCTCTCAGCTCTGTTTTAATTTTCAAATTTGATATACTTTCCCATGGTTTTTAAAAGATGGTTTAGCAAACACGACTTTATGTGTTTGGATGTTTTGCTTGCATGTTTGTACGTTGTGTGTCTAGTGTCAGAGGAAATCAGAAGAAAGGTTTGAACCCCCTGAATCTGGAGTTACAGATGGTTGTGAGCATGGCTGCTGGGAATCAAACCCAGGTCCTCTTCAAGAGCAGCAAATGCTCGTTATCACTGAGCTTCTGTCCCCCCCAAACATGACTTCTCAAGACAGTGTATTTGGGGCTTGGGGATGTAACACAATGGTTGCTTAGCGTAAGTGAGGGTCTAAGTTCAAATCCTCAGTACTTCAAAATAAAACAACAAATATGTTATGCTTTCTTCTACCCCTTTTTAGGTTGATGCCATGAAATTGGGAGTAAAGGAAATGAAGAAGGCATACAAGCATGTGAAAATTGACCAGATTGAGGTGAGTTGTCTGTCTGTTGCAAGGTGTGTACTTGTTACTGCAAGGTTGAGAATAAATGCATGGTGAGACATGCACAGAAAAGTGATGACATCCTGGGCTGCTGTTTATTTGTGTAGTGACTTCAGGAAAGGGAAGGATGCCGAAGGCCTCAGTTTCCTCGTTGCTAATGCAAAAATCCCAGTATCACACCCAGTTACTATGCAGGTGAAATAACTGAGCTGTCTGCAAGTATCTCTCTCTCTCTCTCTTTCTCTCTCTCTCTCTCTCTCTCTCTCTCTCTCTCTCACACTCACACACACACACACACACACACACACACACACACACACACACAAGATCTTGTGACAAAGCCCAGACTGGCTTTGAACTTATGGCCTCTTGCTTTATCCCTGAGTGCTAAGATTAGAGCGTACACCATAGATGTTAAATAAAGATGGGTATGTAATTGGTTTACACAATTTCTGGCCGACTTAGTCCTCTTTTCTAATATTTCTAGTAGTTTCTTTACATTTTGGTAATAAATTGCTAGCGTCTAGAATTCAGCATTTCCTTTAGGGTCTAGGATTTGGCTAGGAAGGCAAGGCCTGTGAGCCTGGCTGCTCAGTTGGCTGTCAGGTGAGCATCCCACATGGCAGGCAGAGGAAATGGGAGTGACTAGTGGCCTGCCAAAGGGAAGAGGCCCCTTCCCATATCTCCAGCACAGGAGACATAGGAAGGACCTCTGAGTTTGAGGCTAGCCTGGTCTACACAGGGAGTTTCAGGACAGCCAGAGCTACATAGAGACCTCTGCCTCAAAAACAAAAAAAGTTGTATTTTTGAATGTGTGGGAGGGTGGGTAGGAGGGTGGATAGGTGGTTTTTGTGCAGATGAGTGCAGTGCTTCTGGAGGCCAGAAGAGGGCAACAGATCCCAGGAGCTGGAGTATAGCTAGGTGTGAACTCAGGTCCTCAGCAAGCAGTACACACGTGTGGCCACTGAGCCATCTCTGTGTCCCCCACCCACCCCAGCTCCCTTTGCAGGCCTTTTGTCTTTGCATTTCCCAGAGCACTAGGACATCTGTGCTTCCTAGGTTAGTGCTTCTGTGTATGTTGCTTTTGTTGATGCAGTGTTGAGTTGAAGGGCAGATTAATCTGATGTGTTTGCGATGACTTCCCTTTTTTCTTCCTGTCTCTATCCTAGACTGTAGACATAGAAACCCTGTTCATACATAGGCTGTATAGTGGTTGCAAGCCTGTGACCTCAGGAGTAGGAAGGCAGAGGCAGAAGAATCTAGGTTCAAGGCCAGCTTAGCCCACAAAGCAAGACCCTGTTCATAAAAATAAAAGAAAAAAAAGGGCTCTTACTCATCAGATGATTTGAGAAGTCCCCCCCCCCTTTTGGAGGGGAGACAGGATCTTACCATGTAGGTGTGACTGGTCTAGAACTCATGACAGTCTCCTGCCTCAGCCTCAAGTGTTGGGAACACACTTGAACAAATCCAAGAAGATTTGAGTTCTTCTTCTGTGACTTTGCTCCTTCCCAGCTTCTGTTTTGCCAGTGCTTCTCTGTAGCAGGGTGACTGCCGCGCACTGTGGCAGTTCGACACAGTAGGGAAGCGCTCTAGTTAGTGTTCTCCGCTTTCATAGGCTGCTAGGAAGGAATTTACAGATGACTCTGTTGCTCTGGAAATTGGTGGTGGGGGGCGGCTGAAAATGCCAAAGCCAGCAGAGTGTCCTCCGGGAGAGGCAAAAGGAAGGCCAGGTCAACATGACTCAGCCGGCGTTGGTTCAAACTTTGCCCAGGTCGTTTATTTTAGGTATATTTAAGCACAGCACAATTTGAAAAGGGTTTCCTAATTCTAATTAACTCAGTCCTGCGTACACACCAAAGCTTAAGACATGATTACATCAAAACTTGTGAAATACAAGTGGCATCTTCCATATAGATAGGTTCTCTAGATTAAGGAAGCCGCTTCAAGGTAAACAAGCCTGTAACAAGGACCTGGGGAGGGTAGCTCTGTGTATTGGCTGAGATAAACAGGCCCAAGATAGGCATCTAGGAGAGCCTTATGGCCCGGCCTGTGGCAGTGCAGAGGTCACCAGGCTGTTAACCACCTGAGTTCCCAGCCTTCTGGACTGAGAACATGTTATACATCTCTCCCTATGAAGAGACAGCCCTGTGTGTTCACCACTCCTGGTTTCCCTAGTGCCTGTCTGAGAGCACAAGGACCTACATGCCTCGTACAGGAAATTCTTTTTTTTTTTTAAAGATTTATTTATTTATTACATATACACCAGATCTCATTACAGATGGTTGTGAGCCACCATGTGGTTGCTGGGAATTGAACTCAAGACCTCTGGAAGAGCAGTCAGTGCTCTTAACCTCTGAGCCATCTCTCCAGCCCCTCGTACAGGAAATTCTGATGCCGAGTGAAGCCTGGTGAATTGTGAGCAGTGGCCTCATCCCCTCTATGTGAAGACATACAGGTGTTTGGCCTCCTTTTTTTCCCTTTTTGGTGGTGGTGGTATTGCAAATTGAACATGGAGTCATGTGCATACCTTGCCTCTTTTTTTCCCACTTTCTAAAATTTATTTAGTTTTTAGATGGAGTCTCACTAATTTGCTCAGGCTGGCCTTAATCTAAGTACTAAGTGTTTTATATACATTATTGCAATAAATCTTATAGTAGCCATATAAAATATGGTTTTTGTGTTTTTTTTGTGTTTTTTTTTTGTTTTTTTTTTTTTTGTTTTTACGAGACAAGGTTTCTCTGTATTGTTTTGGAGGCTGTCGGTCCAGCCTGTAAAATATGGTTCTTAATGATCCCATTTAAAAAAGATTTACTCACTTTTATTTAATGCATTATAAATGTTTTGTCTGCATGTTTGTATGTGCACTGTGTGTATGCCTGGTACCTTTGCAGGCCAGAAGAGGCATCAGACCCCCTGGAATGGTTAGAGGGTTGTGAGCTGTCATGTGGGTTCTGGGAGTAGAACCCAGATGCTCTGCAAGAGCAGCAAATGCTCTTAACTGTTGAAGCATCTCTCTAGCTTTCCCTCCTCTTTGTTTTAAAGACTTAAATTATGTCTATGCGTGTGTGTCTGAGGAGGGGTTTATGTATGTAAGTGCAGTTGTCCTTTCAATAGGGAATCAGGTTCCCTGGAGTTAAGAGTTATTGCCTCCCACATAGGCACAAGGGACCAAGCTCAGGCCCTTGGAAGAACAGTGTGTGGTCTTTACCATAAGCCATCTCTGTAGTCCAATAATCCCTTTTTTTTTTAATGAGGAAAACAGGGCTGAGGGTAGAGCTCAGTGTAGAGCACTTGCCAATCATCATCAAGACTCTGGCTCCATCCCCAGTAAGGGAGGGTGAGGGGAACTTGGGTTTTTCTTTTTTTAATATTTTTTAAAATGTTCTTTTATGTGCACTAATGTTTGCCTGCTTGTATGTCTGTTTACCATCTGCCCACAGGGGCCATTAGAGGACTTCAGATCCCTTGGGACTGGAGTTACAGACTGATGTGAGCCATCAAGTGGGTGCTGGGAATCAAATGCTGGTCATCTGAGAGCAACCCACTAGTGCTGTTAACCGCTGAGCTGTCTCCAGCCCCAGAAAGGCTTAGATACTGCTTCTCACTAAGCAGTGCAAGATTTGAGCTGGGACTGTAGCTCAGTGTTAGAGTGCTTACCCAGCATGCAAGGCTCCAGTTCACTCCACCACCAAATAAAATCCGTTTCTAAGTACTAGGAAAAAGAAAAGCGGATGCCAGAAGTTCGGCTCAGTAGCATACACCTGTAATCCCGGAACTCGGGAAGGAGATAGAGTCAGAGGAATGAGGAGTTTAAGGTCATCCTTAGTTACAAAGTGTATTTAAGGTCAGACTGGGCCACGTGCGATTCTGTCTGAAAAAAAGGGATAAAAGATAAATAAATAAAAACACCTTCAGGAGTCCTTTGGAGCATCTGTTCAGTTGACTAAAGCCAGTTCCTACTAATGGAGAACTGATTATATAGTCAGCATTTTTTAAATTTTTGGTTGGGGCCATCGAGATGGTTCAGTAGGTGAGCTTGTCACCAAGCCTGATGGGCCTGAGTTCAATCCTTGGGACCCACCCACATCGTGGAAGGAGAGAACCAACTCCCACAAGTTGTCCTGACTTCTACTTGTGCACTAATGACGCATGCTTCCATATACATGCACAGACACACACAAACACACACACATATGTGAACAAATGAATATAATTTAAAATTAAATTTTAGATCTCGTTTCTACGTGAAAACCTTGTCACAGGAAACTCATTTTGAGGTCCTTTACCTGAACTGCTGCAGAGATCTGTTGTTTACTTCTCAATAAAGCTTACTTCTTTACACTTAAAAAAAATGAGGATCAGCAGAAAGAAGAGTCTGGAGATGGGGGCCACAGGTGTCTCGTCAGCCGAGAAGGTCGAAGAAAAGCCCAGAAACAGCTAAGAAGCAGGTCAAGGAGATGGGCAAGGCAGGCTTTCAGGCAGAAACAAAAAGAAGGGCAGAAGAAACTCAGGAGATGGAAGCCAAGGCCAAGAGGAATCAGAAATCTGGCAAAAAACAGGCTGTCCTTGTACCTAAGACGATGGTGACCCTTCTCCATTCCTTCCTGTTTAAAACCCCTGGGTTCCCTGCTCTAACATCCTTGCCACCTATACCTAGAATGAGATGTTGTACTAGAGCCTGCTGTACAGTGTAATAAAGTTTTGTTTTAAAAAAACAAAATCATACAGTGGCTCATTATCTCTAGTTGTCATTCAGCTATTTCCAGCTTAGCTGTGAGTTTAAAGGAAACTGAGTCTGAAGTCCTGCCAGAGCCTGGTATCCCATCTTTGTTGTATTCTGAATTCTGTGTCACCTTAAACTAAACCAACTAATGTAAAAGGCTAAGTGAAGGAAGAAAACCCTGTCATGTCTTTCTGTAGGATTTACAAGACCAACTGGAAGACATGATGGAAGATGCAAACGAAATCCAGGAAGCGCTGGGCCGCAGCTACGGCACCCCGGAGTTAGATGAGGACGACCTGGAAGCAGGTGAGTCCCGTGCAGAGTCTGTAAGGAGCAGCTGCTGGGACCCTTAGCCAAATGCTGGTCAAAAATTCTATCAGGATGCGGAACGTGGTGGCGCACGCCTTTAATCCCAGCACCCCTGAGGCAGCGACAAGCAGACCTCTGAGAGTTTGAGGCCAGCCTGATGTGCAGAGCGAGTTCTAGGACAGCCAGAGCTGTTACACAGAGAAACCCTGTCTCAGGACAAAAAAAAAAAAAAAAAAAAAAAAAAAGCTTCAGGACAACCAGGGCTATGTAGAGAGACCATGTCTCCAACAACAGAAAACAGTTCCTATCAGGATGCGCGGGAGTTGGTTTAGGCACAGTCTCTGGGCAAAGAGCCTGTAAGGCAGCTGCGTCTACCTTCTGCTCCACAGTAGTGGAGAATCTACTAAGGAGAGGCTGGGCAAAGGCTCAGTGTGCTCAGTCTCTGTATAGATTGAGGGTTAAGAAAACAAATGTGAGTCCTGCATCCATACTTTCTTATCTCATTATATTAATTTATTGGGGAGTGCACACAGTTGCCCTGGCCATGCTTGTGTAGGTCATTGAACAACCTGCAGGAGCCAGCTTTTCTGCCATGTGGGTCCCAGGGATTCAACTCAGGTCACTGGGCTAGACATCAGGTTCCTTTATCCATCGAGCTGTTTCACCAGCCTGATTCCTGCGATTATAAAACTCCTCTACCAGTGGGAGAAATGTAAACTGCCTGCTTGAATTCTTTGTTTGTTTGTTTGTTTGTTTGTTTGCTTTTTGAGACAGGGTTTCTCTGTGGCTTTGGAGGCTGTCCTGGAACTAGCTCTTGTAGACCAGGCTGGTCTCGAACTCACAGAGATGGACTGCCTCTGCCTCCCGAGTGCTGGGATTAAAGGCAAGCGCCACCACCACTGGGCAACCTGCTTGAATCCCTAATTGTAAGCACATGCGTGATTGGAAAGAGCACAGACAGAGCAGGGACTCTAACCTAATAATGAGAGGGGACAGTCAAGAGACCTGTAGGATGATTAGGGGCCGCCATGAGGAAATGCAACAAGAATGAAGGCTACTGCTCTGGTCACATAAGAAAGTGGTGCGGGCTGCTTGCAGACACAGAGGAATGCACCATGGTGGGGTGTGAAGAAGAAGGGGCTGTCAAGGTGGTTGCCAGTTCCTGGCATGACGGAACCAACCCACACGGGGTCTTCTGTGGCTCTCGGGAGCACTTTGCCTTCCTTCCCTCCTGCTTCTTCCATGTTTAGAACGGTTTTTAATTTCCTGTCTTTAGTTATCCCTGATGACTCCCTACCTGATGTTGTCATTACTTATGACTGTAGTTTTTACTGTAGTTACCCCTACAGCCTGACTTCATCTAATGATCACATGATGTTCAATAGTTCTCTGCTTCTTTGCTCTGCTTTCTTTGAAGTTCATCAATAAATGAGATTTCTCTCATTAAATAGAAAAAAATTAAAATAGAAAAATAAAGATCAAGAGATACAAATGAGTTCCTTTTCCTTTACATTATATTTGGTCATTACAAATCACTTAGCTAACTTTTCGATGAGAAGTAGTTTTCACATTTTTTTGTAGTTGTTGTTTTGTTGTTTTGTTTTTCAAGGCATGGTTTGTCTGTGTTACAGCTCTGGATGTCCTGGAACCTTAGACAAGGCTGGCCTCGAACTCACAGAGATCCACCTGCCTCTGCCTCCCGAGTGCTGGGGTTAAAGGCGTGCGCCACCACCACTCTGCTTCTCTTCACATTTTTCTATAATGTAGCCTGTTCAATTTCAGAGCTGGATGCACTGGGAGATGAGCTTCTGGCTGATGAAGATAGTTCCTACTTAGACGAAGCAGCATCTGCACCTGCAATTCCAGAAGGTGTTCCCACTGACACAAAAAACAAGGTATTATGTTTTCCCTTAAGGTGTATGTTTAGGTTACTGCCTATAGTTTAAACAATTCTACAAATAACTAATGTGTCCACAATAGGGAACTCTTTAAGATTTACTTATTTTATGAGTTTTGCCTTCATGTATACTATGTATTTCCATGCAACATATTAAAGGTTTTCTTTATATTCACAAATCTGGAAATCTGAAATATAGTCTTAAGTTTAATAGCCCTGATCATTATTTTAATAACTTTTGAAATTCCAGTTTTCCCGCATTGGGCAACTAATAAGCTGCATAAAAAATGTCAGTGAGGCGCTAGGCGGTGGTGATGTATGCCTTTGACACCAGCACTCAGGCAGGGGCAAGCAGATCTCTGCGTTTGAGTACACCCTGATCTACAAAGTGAGTTCTAGGACAGCCTGTGAATAAGGGAGTCCATGAAAGCCCGAATAAAAGCATATCAAATATTTATTTGGGGAACAGTCACCTCATAAAGGTAGAGAGCAGCTGTGTTCTTCTGCCCTGGGGGCACTGGAAGCTGCGGTCAGATCTCCCACCACCACCCAAGACAGAGAGCATGCCTGTTCTCTCCCCTGTAGTTCACAGGTAGCGCCTGAGACCACGCCTTAATGGACTGGTACCCCAAAGGGTATTGGCTACACAGAGAAGCCATGTCTTGAAAAAGCAAACAACGCCGGGCGTTGGTGGCGCACGCCTTTAATCCCAGCACTCGGGAGGCAGAGGCAGGCGGATCTCTGTGAGTTCGAGGCCAGGCTGGACCGACAGCCTCCAAAACAGAGAAACTCTGTCTCGTAAAACCAAAAAAAGAAAAAGCAAACAAAAAGGCACTGAGGCTAACCAGTGGTTTGGTTTGGTTTTCCTGGTACTCCTCCACTGGAGCTCTATATTCTTTTGAGACAGGGTCTCATCGGCTTGGCATTGAACTGTTAGGCCTCTGCCACTGGGCCAACTGTCTTTATACAGTGGCATCTTATATAATATATGCAATCGCCCTGTAAACTAGCATTAGGTGCTATTTACAGGTTTATCATTTCCTTGGAAAGCATTATTGATATATGCATGAGCCTTGCTTAGTAGAAGTATTAATTGGTGTGCTAGGGTGGGGGGGATGTTGGGAATTTATCTTGGGGCCTCACACATGTTAGGCAAGCACATTATACTGAGTTATATTCCTGGTCTGCTATTGTATTTTGTTAAATTAATTTAGAGACAGGATCTCAGGTGTCCTGTTACCCCTGAACTCAAGCAATCCTTTTGGCCTTATCCTCTCATTTAGCACTTCCCTGTTTTCCTTTTGAGTGTTCATGATAAAGAGTCCCACTCCTGAGCTGACAAGTTGGCTCAGTAGTTGAGTACTGGCTGCTCTTGCAGAGGACCTGGGTTCAATTCCCAGCATCTACGTGGTGACTCACAACCATTTGTAACTCCAGTTCCAGGGCATCCAGTGCCCTCTTCTGACCTTTACAGACACAAGACATGCACAGAGTGCATAGATATACATCAGAGCAAAGCCCATACACATCAAATAAATTAATATTGAGGGAGAGGAGGGGGAGAAGGAGAGAGAGTCCCACTCCAGACACACGAGTTAATTGTTTATTGGATTATTGTAAACTTATAAAACGTATTAATAACTAAGGCTGGGAATGTAGGTCAGTTGACAGAGTGCTTCCCTTGCATGTACAAAGCCTGGATGTGATCCCAGGTCTCGTAGAGCAGGTATGCAGCACAGGCTGTAGTTCTTTTCTTGCAGTTACCAGTAGAGTAGATGGAACACAAAACCATGCTTCAGTCACTGGTAGATGAAAACATGGACCTCGAGACTCAACAAACCCATGTGGAGTTTATTGAGGGGGAAGGGAAGGAGAGGGGGAAGGGGGAGGGAGAGAGAGAGAGAAGCACAGAAGGGGAGAGAGGGGTGGAGAAGGAGCGAAGGGAGAGAGAGAGAGCGAACATGTGGAGGTGCTCACCTAAAGGGGGAAGCTTGCACATGTGTACTGAGTCCTTATGCAGCCCCGTAATGCATGACATAGCCGTGACATGGCCATGCAACACAGGGCCCTTTGAGCTGCCTAAGTATCTGCCTGAATGCCGATATGCATGTCCCACCCATTGTCAGGGGGCGGGGTCAGCATAACGCCTGGTTCCAACACAGGCCTGTAAACCCAATACTGGGGTGGTAGAGAAGGAAGATTAGAAGTTCAAGACCGCCCTTGGCTACAGAGTGAGTTGGAAGCGAACCTGAGATACATGGAGACCCTGTTTTGGGATGGGATGGAAACCTTAATATTAGAAAGATCCTAGTCCAACAAAGGAAGAGAATCAGGATTTCTGACACTGTAACAGATCACTTAGCTTTTTTTTGAGTTTTTCTATTCTTTGCATATGTGACGTAGCTCATGTGATGTGATTGTTGTTTAGAGCAATCTTGGTCTTGTATGTAATGGACTTAAACTTTTATCTTATCTGTATAATTGTGAACAGAGTACTTTACTGTTTATAAAATTTCACTCCCTCTTAGTTAATGTTCTAGGGTAATGTGCTATTTGTCATGAATATTTATAGCCCTGGTTCTATCTGATCTCCCCATAAACATACTGAGTACTCACAATACAGTTGACTGAGTGGGGTCCAGTTCTAATCTGCCTCTATCCATTATATAACTCTAAGCCAATTAGAAATTAGTTTCTTCTCCCTTGCTATGATGAAACACGATGACCAAAGCAAGTTGGGGAGGAAAGGGTTATTTGACTTCACTGAAGGGGGTCAGGGCAAGAATTCTTAACAGGGTAAGAACCTGAAGGGACGAGCTGACAGAGTGCTGCTTACTGGCTTGCACCCCATGGTTTGCTCAGCCTGCTTTCTTATGGCACCAGGACCACCAGCCCAGGGATGGCACCACCCACAATGGGCTGGCCCCTCCCACATCAGTCCCTAATAAAATCCCCAACGTGCTTGCCTACAGCCCCATTTTATGGAGGGAGTCTTTTCTTCAATAGAGGTTCATTTCGGGCAACTATAGCTTATGTCAGTTGACAAACTAGCCAGCACAACTCTGAGCATTACTTCCCCTCGCTATAAAATGTAAGGAGCAACAGGGTGGGGAGCAGATAGTTTTGTAGGTCTTTGTAAATGTGCTTCCCCTTGTACCCTACATCCTTCTTGGAGCTCAGAGTACCTCTCTGGCTTCTTCAAAGTCCCAGGTACACAAGTTGCTTTAAGTAATTATATAATTATCTGCTATTTAGTAATTATGCTGAAGCTATTTTTGTGAGCACTAGTGTAACTGGCCTTTTCAGTTTCCTAGTAACAAGTCCTGAAGCATCTGTGGTGTTTGAACACAGAGCCTCCCACATTCGAGGCCCGCACTCTTCCGCCGTGCTGTGTCTCCAGCTCTTTCCGTTTGTAGACACAGGTTACTGTGAAGAGGAAATCCCAGCTGACACTGGCTGATTAGTAGCAACATGTGGTAGAGGAAGCAGCTGTCCACCTGAGACACTCCCTTAGGGTTCGCCAGGCTGGAAAAGACATTGACCCACTTAAAAGATGACAGTGAACATAATGTGTCTAGAGGCAAGATCTTCATACCTCCCCCTTGGTCCTCGCAGCCACCTCTCTTCTTTCGGGGGTTTCCCCTTTATGTTGTCTCCTCTCTGTTTCCACCCTGCAGAGGACCGCCCCCTTTAACCCTTTTATCTCTGCCTGAGTCTTCAAGCCCCTTTGCCTTTCATGAAAAGCCTAGTCGCCAGCTTCCAAGTGAGATTTTCGTTGTGACTGGTTAAACACTTGGACATGACTTCTGATTACTAAATGTAACAATCGTTTTTACCAAGTCAAAGAGCAGCACTGACCCTCAATTTCTTCTTACAGGATGGAGTACTGGTGGATGAATTTGGACTCCCACAGATTCCAGCTTCCTAGACTTGCAGCATTCCAGCACACGACGTAAAAAAATATGTATTCTGGGACTAGGAAATACTTCCCAATTTGCCAAACAGATTTAGGTTTCTATCCTTTCTTTGAAGGAAAAGCTAATTACACTGCTCCTGTACTTTAATTTTTTCCGTTAAGAAATTTATTGCTTGGGGGAAAGCTTTCTTTCATTAAAATTAATTTTTTTTTCCTCCTAGGAAAGACTAACAGAGAAGTCCCTTTGACTTTGTATGATGTGTTTTCACTCATTAACAATAATTTGAAATAAAACCAAGCAGATGAGACTCTAAATTTTATGTAGAAGTACAGTCTCAGGTGTGACTTGATACATTGATAAGATAGAGATTATTAATGAGATTGGGACTGTTGATAGTATGCTTCAAAACCATTGTCTATTGTGGTGATATAGGTGGGCTTAAATGGTGGCTTTTTTTGGTAGGTTTTGCTGTGTCATGTGAGCAAATCATTACTCTGTCTAATGTTGGAATGAACTGTCACTACTGTATCATGAGTTGCTATTTTGATCCCTTGGTTCCCTCAGTATTATAGCCTGACTTGTAATGAATAATGACTATTTCTTGATACTTAATGTATAGGACATTTATTTATACTCAATAAATATTTTTCAAAAGGATATAATTGTAACATCACTTTAGCCTAAACCCTCCACTATAGAAAGCAAGCTTAGCCAGTTAGCATCGACATAGAGAGGAGAGGGCAGAGGGCAGTCCCAGGTTGGGTTTAGAGTAGATCATTTACGAACTACTGTTTCTTGTTAATACAGTTGTACTTACCTCAAGGCTCTCCTGGAGAGTAAGTGAGGAGCTAGTCCTAAGTACTGGTTAACTTTGAGGTGCTATTCTCCCAAGAGGGACTCACAGTAAAACGAAAACGCAGAACTGCATCTTTCCCTGGTGAACTGCCTAAACTACTCATACATAGAGTACGTTTAACTGCTGCTTGATTTCAGGGACTTTATTTTATTAGTTTTAAATTCTGTTTATAGGTGTTCTGCCTGCATGTGTGTCTGTGCACCGTGTCTGTGCAGTGCCTCACAGAGTTACAGACAGTTGTGAGCTAGCTGCCTGGTGGGGAGCTGGGAATTGAACTTGGGTCCTCTGCAAGAGCAGTCAGTGGTCTTAACACTGAGCCATCTCTCCAGCGCCTAACTTCAGGATCCTCTCTCTCTCCATCTGGTGGTTAATCTTGTCAGCCTCGTGGGGTCTAGACTCACCTAGGAGACAAGCCTGTGTGTGCCCGTGAGAGACTCTAGATTAGGCTAACTGAGGTGGAAGCCCCACCAGCTGGTGGCATGATTCTATGGGATAGAGTGCTGGGTTGATAGAAAAGGACAGTAGTTGAGCACAAGAATTCACCGCTCTGCTCCCTGCATCCTGATGCCATGTGACCAGCTGCCCCGAGCTTATGCCACTGTGACTGCCCACCAGGTGGACTGTACCATCAAACTGTGAGCCAAAATAAACCCTTATTTTTTAAGTGGTTTGTCAAGCATTTTGTCACAACAACCAGGCAAGTAGCTAATACATTTTCCTTTTTTTTTTTTTTTTTTTTTTTTTTTGGTTTTTACGAGACAGGGTTTCTCTGTATTGTTTCAGAGGCTATCGGTCCAGCCCGGCCTCGAACACAGAGATCCGCCTGCCTCTGCTTCCCAAGTGCTGGGATTAAAGGCATGTGCCACCACCGCCCGGCCTACATTTTCCTTTTCTCATTCACTTTTTAATCAATCAGCTCCCTCTCCAACCTGGCTTGGCAACTCATATTGTCATGTACACTAGCTTTTCATGTTTCTACAGATGAGACCAATAAACATATTTGCTGTAATTTTCAGCACAAGAGAAAAGACTACATGCTGCAGAGCTCATGTGGAGAGGTTTTTATATTAGGGGAATAGGGAGACAGCCTATGGGGACAAGAGCAGCAGAAGATAAGGGGGGTCAGAAAGACAGGCAGAGAAGCAGAGAGAGAAAGGAACAGACAGGCAGAGAAAAATGGGAGGTGGGCAGGGCCCTTTTAAAGGGAACGTAGTGAATGTGTACAGGTGGTGCTCTTAGTGGCTTCAGCTGAGGATGTATCTTGTCAGAACCCCAAGGACAAGCCAGTACAGATACCTGAATACTAATAATATTGAATCCTACTTGTTTTGAACTCTGTAACAGCCCAGGGACTTTTAAGAGCAATAAGACCCTCCCTTCAAAAGCTCACTGTCTAGATACAAGTGGAATAAGGAATATCAGTAAACTCTCTCCCATGTCCACAAACCTCACTTTCTCAAAAAGTCTTCCATGAGCAACTTACAATGCCTATCATAACTTCCTTGAAGCTTCTCAATTTTCCTTTATTGTCTGAATTTTTCTACTTATCTGGTCACTTGGTCTCGTCCATGGACTCTTTCTCACTCAGCCCCTGAAATGTTTCTTCTATTGTAGTTACAAAGCATACTCTTGTTTTTGTTTGTTTGTTTGTTTGTTTGGATGTTTTTTTTTGTTTTGTTTTGTTTTGTTTTTGTCTAGACAGGATCTCATTAAGTAGCTCTGGCTGTCCTGGAACTCTCTATGTAGACCAGGCTGGCCCCGAAACTATATATACTCCTTTTTAAGGGTGATGGGATTTTTTTTAGACTGGGTTTCTCTGTGTAGCTCTGTCTGACCTAAAAGTTGCTCTGTAGACTGGATGTCCTCAAACTCACAGAGATTTTGCCTGCCTCTGCCTCCCAAGTGCTGGGACAAAAGGTATGCGCCACCCACGCCTGACTCAGTTTCTTAGTCTTAACTATAAGGGCCTGTTCCCCTCATAATTCCCAAAAGAGAAGGTCCTGATACCTAACTCTTCCCATTACACCGAACCATTCTGATTTCTCAGTTTTATTAACTGAACTCTTGACCTTAATGGCCTCAGGATCTGAATTGTAGGCATTCCATCCTGGAAATCAGGTGTCTAGTAAATCTCCAGTATTCAGTGCTGGAGAGATGGCTCAGCAGTTGAGGGCACTGACTGCTCTTCTAGAGGTCCTGAGTTCAATTACCCACAGCCACATGATGGCTCACAACCATCTGCAATGAGATCTGGTGCCCTCTTCTGGCCTGTGGGCATACATGCAAACAGAACTCTATACATAATAAATAAATACATCTTTTAAAAAAAATCCCTAATATTCCTGTTCTTGGTGTAATTAGGAGGGTACATTGGAATTCCTTGTTCCACAATGGTGGGGACTTTTCTCCAAAGAATTATTTTGTTTAGTGAAGTTACATTATATATTTTAATCCTTTACCAAAGCCCATACAAAATTTCCCAAAGGGAATGGCATTAATACTGAGAATGAAAATAAAAAGGTGCCAGAGAATTGTGTTCTGCAATGTTGAAATGCTGAACTTTGTCAAGCAGCAATGGTCACCATGCAGTTCACACAGTTATTCATCATTATTTTTGTCATGACTGGTTGTCTTGGTATGTTTTCTGAAGGTATAACAAAATGCCACAGCCTGGGTAGATTAGAAGCAATATGTTTGATTCACAGTTCTGGAGGCTAGGAAGTGTGAGACTGAGGGGTTGTATTTGGTGCCGGGTCTTTTGGCTACATCATAGCACAGAGGAAAGCATCACAGGAGACTCCATAAGAGAGACAGTTTGAAGACAAATCTCCACCCCTTTTAGTCGTAATCAACCCACTCCTAGCATAGTGGTCTTAATCTATTCTTGACAGTAGAGCCCCTGTGACCTGATCACCTTGAAAGGTCCTACCTTTGAATACTGTTACAATGGCAAATTAAATTTCAACATTGAGTTGGGGGTATATTCATATCTATGTATTGCCAATTTTAATGTTTTATTTAATAACATCTTTAATAAGCATTCTGTCTTTAGCCTTAAACACTTTTGTTGTTTAGTAAAAAGCAAACTTCCAACCTTGCAGTAGTCTGATCTGAGGCCTCTCGGTGGATTCTCATGGAGACATTGCACTGAGGAAGCAATGACAGTAAAAGCACAGCCATTCCCCAAAGCTCCTGCATGATTCACATGGTCTTAGCAAGCAAGGTTACTGAAATAGCATATGAGGGAGTTACCACTTCACCTCATCTTGAATGGTGTTTCCTGCTTCGTTTTGGTTTTCACCACCATTCAGATAGGGTGTTCTTCCTAAGAGAAACTGCTCCCTTCTGGGAACATGTTCTTGTATTAGTTCCAGTCGGAGTCTCACGAGAAAGCACTCCAGGCTGTGTCTGTGGGTAAGCTTGGTCTGTAAAGGCGTACAGCCCTTACAGCCTCAGCAGAAGACAAAGACTGCTTTTAAAAGTGGCTCTGCTGCTTGCAGGTGAAATACCTAGGCGGGTAGTGGTGGCCCACACCTTTATTCCCAGTGCTGGGGAGGCAGAGGCAGGCGGATCTCTGTGAGTTCAAGGCCAGCCTGGTCTACAGAGCGAGTTCCAGGACAGCCTCCAAAGCTACAGAGAAACCCTATGTCAAAAAACAAAAGATAACCCTTTTCTGTGTGCTGATCTCCATTTTTCTGAAGTAACTTTAACCTTTGTGATACTATTTCATTTCTTTTAGAAAGGTGAGTTTCTTAAGTGAACAGGAAGTTGACTTTTACCAAAGCTGCGCTATAAGTTTACTGGCTTTCCCCTAAACAGCTTTCTCCTTACCAGCCCACAGTAGCCACACTGCACTCAACTCCAAGGTCTTTAATTTTTAATCTCTGATGGGTCACATTCAGCTATCCACATATACCATGTTAGTCCACTGAGCAGAAAACATTCTACTTCTCACTGTTGGCTGTGTCATGCTATTCATTTCTCCTGTTCTGACTGTGCCTCCACAGCTCCCTGAAACTCCCCTCTCTCCACCCCTGCAGTGTTAGTGCTCCTCAGGATTCCAGTTTGACCCTCCATACTTCCTTTGCTCAATTGTTATCTAATGAAACCTCAGCTATCCTTGTGGCTACTACTGACCTTCAGGTCTGTGCTTCTAGTGCTAGTCTTCCTCCTGGATTTCCTACTTGTTTTTAAACTTTTTGAGAATTTTATGTGTAAATACACTATCATTCCCCCCCCCCAGCTTCTCCCACCCCTGCTTCAGCTCCTCCCATATCCCCCACTCTCTTGAACTCATGACCTTCTATAATGATTACCTGCATAAATATGTATAACCTACTGAGTCTGCTTAGTGTTGCTCACATGGACATGTGTGTAGGGCTGAACACTTGAGACTGGATATTCTTCGGGGGCTCATCCTTGGAGATAACTGATTCTCCCTTCCTCAACAGCCATTGACTAGAAACTTTCTCCATTCACATTGGTGTATCAACTGGAGTTGTCATTATGCAGATTTTGTTCAGGTAACCATAGTAAGATTTCATGAGTGTAACATCTAGAAGACACTAACTCACGGCAAGCATCCATCCTGGTCCTCTGATTTTTAAAATCTTTATGCTCTCTCTACCAAGATATTCCCTGAGCTGTAGATGTAGAGATTGTGTTATATAGATGTGCCCACTGGGACTGGGCCCCCCATGGCCACTTATTGTTTACATTTTAATCAGTTGTGGATCTCTAGTACATTCTGTAAGTTGCAAATATCCAGATATTTGTCAGACAATTATTTGGATGTCCCAGA